ATATACATACAGCAGTGACAGGGACACTTGGTGCTTTGTAGGTTTGTGGACAGTCTGGGATACTATGGCCTCGGTCTCCAAGTGGGGGACTTTGGTTTGGACATCTACCTGACACAGCTGGTATTTGGAGCAGTGGAGGTGCCTGCCCGTCTTTCTAGCATCCTGATGATGGAGAGGCTGGGTCGAAAGTGGAGCATGTTGGGAGCTCTGACTCTGGGTGGCCTCATGTGCATCATCATCATCTTCATCCCGGCAGGTACCAGGCTGGCTGTTTCCCACCCTTTTCCTCCTTGCCAGGGCTAGACCCATCACCACCACTCCCCTTCAGGAGTAAAGACTTCCCCGGGGCTTGGGTAGAGAGGGGTGAGGAGTGTGGGCAGACAGCATGGTGGGCAGGGCCTGCTGATGGGTTGTCCTTTCCTCTGTGTCTGACCTGCATACTCCCCCAGATCTTCCCGTGGTGGTCACAGTGCTGGCCGTGGTGGGGAAGTTTGCCACGTCTGCTGCCTTCACTATGTCCTACGTGTACACTGCTGAGCTCTTCCCCACTGTCATCAGGTAAGAGCTGCTAGGTGACTTATCCTCTTCTGTCCCAGGGACCTGATATTGCCCTTCCCTCTGCCCCCATACCACAGCTGGAAATCTAGTGGTAACCACCAAGCTGTCCTAGGACCTTGGAAGACAGAGATGGACTTAGGCATGCCCTGATATTATCAGGACCAGAATGTGGCATAAATATAAGAGAGAATTGGCTCAGGAGAAGGAATGCTCAGAAGTAGGGACAGGCAGTTAGGCCTTTAGAAGAGATAGGAGAGCAAGAGTGTGGTAGGCACGCAGGGTGGACTGAAGGTGGGAGGAGCTGGCTGGAACAGGAAACAGACACACTGCATAGGCCAAATGAGGGTGGAGACCCTAGACCTCCTGGGGTGAATGTGGCCTTGGCCTGTGCTGCTTTCCCCAGGCAAACGGGCATGGGGCTGGTGAGCATCTTCTCCAGAATCGGCGGCATCATCACACCGCTTGTGATGCTGCTGGAGCAGTACCATGCGGCGGTCCCCATGATCATCTTCGGCAGCTTTCCCATCGGAGCAGGCCTACTGTGTGCTCTGCTGCCAGAGACACGGGGCCAGTCCCTGAAGGACACCATCCAGGACCTGGAGCAGGGGCCTCACTCACGGTGAGCAGCTGGCTTGCTAGCTGGCAGCCCTCTCCTAGAGTTAGATCTCCTCCGTCACTGTTACTTTGTCATTGCTTAGCAGTCAACATGGCACCTTCTTGGCATCACAGATTTCTGTATGCTTTATGTCACATGCCTTCTGCTGAGCAGGTGGTGGGAAGTGAACTATCATGGCACCACTTCCTGGGCGGCCTTTTGCTCTCTTGTAGGTCCTCAAAGGCACTGCCCCCAGAAAAAGAAATTGTGGCCACAGGAAGGGCTTCCAACCCAAGGATCGTCATTATCAACAGCTCGTACTTCTGACTGTGGTTGCCAAGAGCCAGCCCATCAACAGTAGGGAGTTGTCCATACCACCTTCTGGATTTGGTCGGGACCCATGGGAACACAGGGACCAGATCAACCTTGCTCATGGAGGCAGTACTCCTTGAGCTGTTCCAGGCCCAATCTGCAGAATTCATGATTAACAACAGTTTGTAACTCCAATTCCAGGGATCCAACACCCTCTTCTGTCTTCTATGTGCATTGCACAACATGGGTGCACTTACATGCATGCATAATGCTCATACACATAAAATAAAAATAAATACATTTTAAAAAGGATTCTGGATTTATCCATTTTCTGTTACAAAAATGGAATGCCTGAAGATAGGCAATATTATAAAGAAAAGGTTTCTCTCACAGTTCTTGGGGTTCAAAGGCTTGGTACTAGTCTAGTTTGTGTCTAGTGAGGCTATGTGGTGGATGGCATCACAGGGCTGGGAGCATGAGGGACCACATTGTAAGCCAGAAGGTAAAGAGGGGCTAGGGACAGGCTGGTACTAGACCCTACCCACTCTGTAAAGGCCTGCCATCTCTCACACTGCTACCTTGGGGACCAGGGTCTCAACACATGAACCCTTGGGGGAAACACTCAGACCATGTCCAAACCAACACAAATTCTTTCAGAAATTCCCTCATACTTGCTCACCTTCTTGTGTAGCCTGGAGGAGTGGGACGTGCTGAAGGCCCACGCTGTGCACCCAGCCTGGAAGTTTCCAGCAGCTCCCTTTCAGGTAAATGGATCTTTGTTAATGTTTCTCTGCTCTGAAGCCATGGCCAAACGTTCTACTGAGCTTCCTACTACAAACCATCCTCCTGAGTCCCAAGCTACACTCTCCTCTTGAGGACACTTGAATGTCTTTCTTGGCCCAATGAGTCACCAGGTGAATACTGCCAAGGAGAGAATAAGGGCTAGACAGAAGTGGGAAAAGGCCACTTCAAAGCCGAAGGCCATTTCCTGATCCAACATGTGGACACGCACACCTTCTGTGGCAGAGTGACAACGGTTCCTGGGAACAGTCCTAAAGGAATCCTTTGTTGACTTTAGCATTAATACCAAAGAGCATCTGTTGCCTTTGAAGTCTTTGCAGACTTTTTCTGGTTGAAGATTATGAGCAGTTGGGGACAACTTCTTGTATTTGCAAATACTCTGTGACTTAGTCTCTTATCGGGTTAATATCGTATTGCTGATGAGAGCTTCAGAACCTGAGACCTCGGGGACCCAGAGGAGATGCTACGTAGACCTGGTTCTGTCTTTACCTTGAGTATAGATAGAGCACAACAGAAGGGGATCTCACAGACCAGACA